TTGGTCTTTTTGAGACAGGGTCTCCCTGTAGCCCCAGCTGTCCTGGAACTCACTATGTAGACCAGGCTGGCCTCGAACTCACAAAGATCTGTCTGCCTCTGCCTCCCAAGTGCTGGGATTAAAGGTGTGCACCACCACGTCCAGTGGTTAGACTCTTCTTACAGAACCCCTGTATTAGCTATGTTTCTCATTGCTGAAACAAAGTACCTGACAAAACAAAAGTGTTTATATTTGGGCTCAACAGTTTGAGGATATAGTCCATCATGGTGAGGGAGCAATGGTGTCAGGAGTTTGGGGCAGTTGGTCACATTGCATCTTTAGTCAGGAAACAGTTACGAATGCTGGCTCTCCAGCAAGCTTTCTCCCTTTTATTCAGTCTAGGATCCCACCCCATGGAATGGTGCCACCCCCAGTTACCTCAGTTATCCCAATGTAGTAAATCCCTCAGAAACATGCTTAGAGGTTTGTGTCCATGGTGATTCTAAATCTCACCAATGTGACAGTATTGACCATCATAGCTGCAATATATCTCATTGGGGTTTTGATTTACATTTCATTTCTCTGCTGTGATGTTGAAGAATTTATAATATATTTTTCCCCATTTGCATGTTTTAAAATATCTAGTCAGGTCTTTTGGCCATTTTCTAACTGGATTACCTGGTTTTGCTTATTTGTTTGTTTTTTGTCATTAACTTGAGTTCCTTATATTTTGGATATTACCCTTTGTCAGATGTATGATCTTCACACTTTTCTCCCATTCTATAATTTTTTTCTTTCCTCTATTGTTTCCCCCAACTTTCTCTACTACACAACAGAGTTTGTTCATTTCTGAGTGTCCCAGTGCCACCATCCACATAATCTCATACTGGTATTCAGAAGGCAGAGAAGTTCTCTGGTCTATACTAAAAATTTGCAAATGTAGAAAGTTGTGATTTATTTATGTGCTTGTTTATCTGATAGAAAACCAGGAGCAAATAAAATCTGATTTATAAAGTACTGACTTTTCTCCTTAACAAAATGATAAAGGATCAAATATATCAAATGGTATTACTCAGGCTAGAGAGATGGCTCAGTGATTAAAAGCACTGGCTGCTCTTTTGGAAGACCCTGTTTCAAATCGCAGTATCCACATGGTGGCTAACAACCACCTGTAACTCCAGTTCCAGGGGATCTGATGCCTTCTTCTGTCCTCCGCAAGAATTGCATGATATGGGTGCACTTACACTCATGCAGACATAACACTCATACACTTTAAATAAGCAAATAAGGGCTGGAGAGATGGCTCAGTGGTTAAGAGCACTGACTTCTCTTGTAGAGGACCCGGGTTCGATTCCCAGCACCCACATGGTGGCTACAAACTGTCCTTAACTCCAGTTCCAGGGGAATCCAAAGCCCTCTTTTGATTTCCGCGGCATTGCATGACACAGGTGCACTCACATACACACAGGCAATACATTCATACACATAAAATAAAAAAATAAAATATTTTTTAAAAAATAAGTAAATAAAGGAATGAATGGGTGTTATTTTTACAAAGTGGGAAGCACTACTAGATAAAGGAAATGGAAGTTTTATAAAACAAAAATACT